GGGTGGGCATTTGTGAGCCTTTGGGATTTCAGGGCTGGTGTGCGCTGCCCACACACACACCCGGGGAGCGCGACTGACAGGGGAACAACAGGGCTGAACTCGGGAACAGAGTCTCTTTCTGAGCCGGACGTGGAAACAGGAGCCCTCTCAGGGCTAATTTCAGGAACGGGGAGCACTCTCTGGGATGACAGAGGGAGGAGAGGGGGCAGGTCGGCATACCAGTCTATAAGGTCTCCCTCCGCTTTCCATTTACCCAGATCCCCTAATAGCTCATCCTCAGCCATGGTCTCACTGGCCACAGCTTTCTCCCTCATGGCGGGTGTGGGAGCCGGCTCTCGCACCTGGACTGACGTAATGAAAAGCTTCGGCTCCGCGGCGATCCTCAGCTCCTTCACGCCATGCAGCAAAGGCTTGTCTGTCGCGGCGGTTTCGGGCTCTCCATCAATGGTGGGCGTGGGCTTGAGCTCCGCACAGCAAGGTGATGGTTGGTTGGGCTCTGGGTCCAGAGTGGAACTGCCTCGGAACAGACGGTGAACGGGGATTCGTTTCTCGCCAGTATCCAATCCACAAAGGCAGCGAAATCTGCTGGAGGGCCATCTTCGGATGAACTAGGTCACGGAGCACATGGGGAGAAAAACACACACAGACAGGTCCATATCTCTGACATAAACAAGCTGGATATAAACAGCTCCAAGTGGGAACTTGTGGACTTATGGACATCTGCTGAGCAATCACACGGCTTTAACGAAGAAATAAGAGAAACGAGAAACAAGTCAACAGTGAGGGAAGTTGAATGAAATCAAAACGCAGTCTGAAGGACCTTTCACAGTTACAACAACGAGAAAAAGCGAAGCGAATCGCAGACGAACTTTCACACCAAACATGAAATGATCGATCGCCTTCGGGAAGAGCACAGGCAGTTCCATATACTGACGGTGAGTGCATTATCGTTTTATTTAGCTCGTTAGAAAAATAAACAATGTAGTATGCTGTGTTTAAAGAATATAATGTTGCATTTTTCTGAATAGTGTTTCTAATATAATACGGTTATATAATACTTTTCTTTGGTGTTTACACTGGTTTTCAAAACGGCTTCCTGTGCTTTAGAACCACCAATCTCACCCTTTTGTGCAACAGCAGCGTGATCGAAAGCTCAAATCTAATTGAACGGCTCATTTCATCGCGGGGCAACAGGGGGGAAAAAAATCAACACAAACTAGCTTTGTTGCGCCGCAACTGATCACGTCCGGTGTGAATAGCTTCATAGGATCTATTGTTTTGATTCCAGAAAGTCATTGCGTCGAACATTCACGGTGCACACTCACACTCAGTGCGAAAGTCGCTTGAGTCTGAACACGGATTCTGATCAGTTCCTGATGTTAGGAACTCCATGACCGACCGGCAGGATAACCGACATGTGAACGACACGACAGCCATGCATGTTAATCCATGAATGACCATCCAGCCTCAGAGTGCAGGCACTTCCTTTTCACCAGCACAGGAAATCTTGTTTTGCGTAGTGAATTCATGATAGCCACACAAAAAGCAGGTTTCTTTCAGATAACAGAATGTGAGGGAGAACCTCAGTTTCAGCTACAGACAGACTCAAATCAATGCATGACTAACACGAGCTGTGATGCTCTGGCAGATGCACAAGCTTCTACAGTCTTTATCTTATATAAGCACTGCAGAAAATCTCTACTGCCGGCAGCAAGTTTTGTTGTATAAATAAAAGTATTCTAGTACAGTATATAAACCTTTGAAATATTCCACAAAACAATATTATTGGTTATTGTTTAGGATATGAGACCCAATTGTAAGGTTGAATCAAATATAAGGCAAACTTTGTTTGGGTGACATGCTGAAATCGTAATCAACACATTATTTCAAAACGGAGTGATATTTATCTGGCACAAACTGTTTAAAACTGGAACTAACTGGTACTGAATACAACTAGAAAAGCAGTCTGATTCTGTAATCTCTCAACTTAACATATGTTTGGTTTTAGGAGCCTATGGCACCCTTGTCGCCCTGGATAGAAGTGGACAATTTGAGCAAAGATTTATCACCCATGTTATGGAACCATGTATATATAACCCCTTCAATATAAGTCGATTACAGACACATATGTATATACTAGGGGTGCAATGGTCCAACTTATTCAAGGTTTGGTTTGTATCACGGTTTTAGAGTCATGGTTTTGGTACGGTTCAGTATGTGCTATGTTCAGGGAAAAAACTATATTGTCAAATAAAAATAAAGAAAATAAGAACAAATTATCTAACTACAAGCAACAGCACAAATAAATAAACAGTGCTTTTCAGTTTTTTTAGGTAGGTCTAACAGTTTTTAGGTACAGAAATTGAATAAATCAAATGTAAAATAACATTGCATATTTGACTGTATAAATTAAAGATTAATCCTTATTAAAGTTATAAAAGTTATTCAATCAATAGCAGTGAGAGATTTCCGTGTTGTTGCTGTTTGATTAACATTAAGAAAGTGCTGTCACTTTAAGAGAAAGCACTGATACTGTACGTTCAGCCGACTATGTCTGCTAGGATACTCACCAAGACGGGCATTTTGACATAACTTTTGTGAATCTGTCCATTTAAACACAATATTTCACAGAGAGCTTAATATTTGCGTGCGTTCTGATACGTGGGTTCACGCGCTTCGGATGAGTGACCACACAGATCTTCTCACTGCGTGCGCGAGTTCACGTCTTCTGGCTCTTTAATATTTAAACTGGCAAGGTTTAAATGAGTTTAGTTTAAACACAGATAGCAACGTGTTCTGTTCAGGTCTCACCTGCACTATCAACACGTGATGACGGCATAAATGACAGTTATTCCAGCATAAAGCACTCGCATTGATTAAAGAGTGACTGGTTTGTCCACGTATTGTTTTTTTTAATCTCTCATCGCTCTTGTTGTATTGTATTGGGAAGCCAGAATTTGTATCCATCAACAGAAACATGTATTAGCCGAACTCTAGAACCGCGGTCCTAGTGTGTGCCGAACGGTACGGTTCTATTTTTACAGAGAACCGTTGCACCCCTAGTACCGTATTGGCCCGAATATAAGACGACCTCCCTTTTTCCAGATGTACTTTTTGGAAAAAGTCTTTTTAAAAAACAAATCTTGTTTTTTCTCAGTAAAACACATTTTGTCTTCAATTATTTTCATATTGCATATTTTTCCTATTTTAATTTTTGTTTTGAAAGTATGGTAAAAAATGGTAAAATGTACCAACAATCACATTTTAAAAATATACACTTTTTGATATACCATTAAAAAATTTTTTTTTTAAAAACAGGTAGCCCATCTGAATTAGGACAATTGGTAGGCTAATAGTGGCCTACCAAAATCTTATTAACAGTAGAAGTTAAATCTTACTGTAGTCTTCAAATCTTCAAATGTACTGTCTTACATTTTAAAATCACAAAGAGAGTTTGATCCCATCAGGCTAACGTGACAGTCACGACTTCATTTCCAGCGTTATCGTTGACATAATTGCAACGATATTATTTAAACTGAGCTGGATGCTGACATCACTGAATTCAATGATGAACTGTCTTTAACTGAAAAATGAGTGTTTACTATTGTCACTTTGCATTATTGACACTATTTTCCTAATTAATGCTGTTCAGTTGCTTTGACACAATCTGTATTGTTAAAAGCGCTATATCACTTTCACTTTCACTTTCACTAAATAAAGGTGACTTGACTTGACTTGACTCATGCAGCTCTCAAGGGTTTGCGATCTTTACAATACACATTACATTACGTATTTCATGGCACACTCGTTTTATGCAATAGTGGCGCCACGCCATGCATGTATAGTCAATGTACAGTCCCCAAACATAAAACTAAAACACAAATCAAACGAGTTAACATCTGCGTGCAAATAAATGTACAGCTAGTTAAAGGTTTCTGGTGGCTGGAAAGTCGGACCAACACCATCGATTCAGTATGATGTAGAATTACATCTGTGGGAATCATGCTGGCCATTTATTTAGCATGGAACTCCTGTCCTGTTACTTGGAAGGCTCAGCTGAATACAGATAAGACTTCCTTAGACTAACGATAAGCGTTCTCTAATTGAGAAAAATGATGTAATATCGATCTGCTGTACAGCCCCACGGCTGTGACATTTACCAAAGCGGCAGCGGTCGACTGCAGAGAGACGGAAAATGGCGCGGTTTGTCAGAGCGGGGGGCATCGACATGAGGAGACCTTATGCAATAGTGGCGCCACGCCACTATTGTTGTGGGTGCATTATTGACATGTCAAAGTCTAGAGCCTGAATATAACGTTTTTTTCAGATGTATTTCCAAGAAAAAAACATTGTCTTATATTCGGGTCAATACGGTATATACATATGAACACACTGCTCTTACTATTTATACTACAAAAAGGCACAGAATAGAGCATAAGTATTTAAATTGGGACCTGAGAACTGGAATGATTCATAAAAAGAATCATCTGCCTCAGTCTAGTGGACAGCTCAGACTGTAACTAATGCGTCTACAGTGAGTGATTTGGAGGACGACACGCCTGTCTCTCCCTCTCTATATGTCAGTCGTTTGACATGGATATGAAAAGTGCCTCACATTGGCATTTCACATCTGTAAGTTCAGAATTCTGCACACACTCCTTTCACTCACATTTCCTTTCCTTTCCCTACAGTATTTGGTGCTATTATGTGTCAGCACTGATCTATTTATCTGTCACCGTCTCGCTCTCCTACCTAGAATCTCATTAAACGAATGTGATGTTAACTCAACTCAATGTGTCCATTTGAACAGGGCATTCAGAAATTCTGTCAGCCTGATTCACATCTCTGTCATCTCACCAATGTCCCGTGTTTGGATAGGATGAGAGCAGGTAAGTGATCGTCACCGTCCCTGAAGGAGACAGTGTGTGGTCTGTCTGTCTTAGGTCTTCTGTTGTAGAAATGACATTACTTGCAGAACACACACAAATGTAAATGGTGCTAGGCTGGCCATATAGACAATGTCTCCATCTCCTTTCCTGCTCTGCAATGCCACACTTCCCGTGCAACGAAGCAAGCAGATACAACAATGCAGACCAGAAGAGAAGTGAAACAAAGCTCAAAAAGAGAAAAGAAAGAGACGCTCGTGAGCAGATCTCGCATCTATATTCTCGCACAAGAAAACATTAGTGTGCAAAGGGCTGTAAAAGCATCACCTTGTTCACGCCGTGTTCGTGTGAGCAGCTCGTGATCCATTTCAGCGCCTCAGAGTGGCTCGTTTACAGTTAGGCTTTATTTTCACATTTTTGTGAAGCGATGATTACTAGATTTGTAATGAGACATGTTTGTAAACCTATTCAAAGAATTTGGCTTCCTATAAACATCAATGTGAATGTCAAGCTAACTGAGCCACTATCACAAGTAAAAAGAGGTTTGAGTTCACTTTAAAATCCAGATACATAAGCACAAAATCTAGCATTAAATGACCAGCGGGTGGTGCTGAGTCGCTCTCAGGTCATGCCGCTGATGTTTCAAAAGTCTTTCAAAAGAAACAGCTGTAAAATGTAAACTGTTTGTGGAGCTACAAGGATTGAGACAATGGGCCTCATTTATCAATCTAACGTAGAAACGAGCGCAGATCTGTGCGCACAAATCAACTTACGACAAAATAAACAGTGTAACTTTTATGTTTGGTTGACTGCATTTTAGTTTGATGATGAATGGCTGAAATGTCAGGCAACGCTAGAACTAATGTTGTTTGTGTGTGCGTGAGGCGCCTGTGCGATCAGATGGATTCAATCAAATAAAGATATAAAGAAAAGAAATTAAATGCATTAAGAGTGTCACAAAAACGAGCATAACCTATACTTGTTGCACAGTGTTTTTTCCCCCCTTTTGTTAATCTTTTAATTATATTATAGCCTATTAT